AGGATTAAACGACAGGTACGGCTTAGGATAGTTACACAAGTTCTAACCCGTAAACCCTACACGCCTAAGCCCGCAACCCTAAACTCCCAAACCCTTCACAACAACCTTAAGCCACTAAATCCCCAAACCCTAAAGCCTACACAATAACCCCTAAGCCTTTAAATCCCCCCGCAAAAACCCGAAGAGCCCAAAGCTCTACACCCTCAGCGCTTGCATGTCGAGACGTTCAAAAGCTCTGATGACCCAGAGTTCCTGCGTAGAGGGCCCAGCCTCATGGCAAAAGCCGCGAAAGGGATTAGGGTTTATGGTTTAGGGTTCAGGGTTTAGGGTTTAGGTTCTAGGGTTTAGGGTCTAGGGTTTCGCGTTTAGGGTTTAGGGTGGCAAAAGCCGCGAAAGGGAGCCCCGTGCTTATAGGATCATGGGACTTAGTAAGTAAGGTTATTATAAGTCCCTTAATTGGGGTTATAAGTATAGTTACCCTAATTATAACTAAATTATAACCTTACTTACTAAGTCCCATGATCCTTCAAGTGGGTTATTCTCTAAATTGGGTAGGGTGCCGTACTATTTTGGGGGACCTAAAAGGGGGCCCTAATTCAGAGAACTACAGGATATAGATTTAGAGTCATGGGGTTCAGGGCTTTGCAGAAGACTAGCCTTTTTTTTTGGTTGCTAGAGTTTCTGCTCTTCGAGGAACCCTAACCCTCCAGGTACCGACTATATAGGGTTCTGGAGGCTCCAGTGGGTTAGGGGAAGTGGGGCGTTATAGGGTCTGTAACCAGGGGCTCCATGGGCACGGCTTCTGTCAGCTCGAGGTCAGGGAGGCGCAGCATGCTAGGTGTTCTCGAAAAAGGTGGCTGGGATGGAGAGAAGCTGTAGTTGTTATGTTTGGGTTTATGGGTTTAGGGTTTAGGGGCTGTAGTCGTCATTTCGGGGTTTACCGGCACACTCGTATTGCAGAACAGACCCTACTTCATACAGGGTCTGTGGGGCGAGATTGGTCAGGGAAATTTGTCGCAGCTGGCCGTCCGAAATGCCCGATATGAGAAGTTAAATACACAAAGTCTTTCGGCCTCATAAACACCCGCCTCGCTCGACTTCCAGCTGCTTAAGTGCGTCATATACACACAGCTCACAGTTCTACCGCTCCATAACTGGTACCACTGGAGGCGAAATAGCCTTCAACTTTGAGGACGATGGCTCCTGCCACCATGTTTGAGTGAGGTCATGAACTTTCTTCGATACAGCCGCCCACACACCCTGCGTGAAGCGTATATCTTCAGCCGCAGCGTGGAAAGACTTAGGGACCCCAAAAAGACATAAGCATACTGTAAGCATTATAGGGGATATCCCTACTTTATTGGGCTGATTATAAGGGAGTTTCTATGGGAGATATTCCTATCACACTTTTGTGCTTATGTCTTGTTTTTGGGCCTGGGACACCCTCAACCCTGACCCGAAACTCCATTCCCCGACCTCCTAACTCCTCCATGGCTCCAGAATCGAAACATGTGCCCTTCCCTTGGGATATCGCATTTAGGGTTTAGGGTTAGGGTTCACCCTAAACCCTAAACCCTAAACCCCTAAACCCCTAAACCCTAAACCCCTAAACCCCTAAACCCCTAAACCCTAAAGGGTTACGGTTCAGTGATTCGGGGCGGGCCGCTAAAGCCAAGAAACTGAAGCCCCCAGCTCTCAACTCCAAGCCCTGAGCCCTAGAACCTAAAGTCTGTCGGTGATAGGTTTAGGGTTTAGGGTTTAGGGTTTAGGGTTGATATAAGGGCCGAAATAATTACCAATACTATTTGGAGGGTTCCTTGTTATAGGTATAGTACACAGGGCCCCAAACCCCAATTCCAATTATTAAGGCCCATACATTGATGTTCTGGTGTTTCTCCTTTGAGCTGTCAGGCTGCTCTCCCACAGCACCTGGATGCGGCTCTGCCTCTTGCCAACAGTGGGTGGATGCCCACCACCGGGGGGGGGGGGAATTGGGAGGCGGGCACCCTAAACCCTTCACCCTGAACCCCTAAACCATAAACCAAGAACCCCTAAACCATAAACCAAGAACCCTAGCGGATGCTTAGTACGTTTGGGGTCCTCGAGAAGGCAAGGGTTCCACCTTGTCTACGATTGCTTTTCTTTGGGGCCTCTCCCTAAGGGTCTCAGGACTCATATTTTACGGCTTTTGGGCCCAAAGACCATACTATTATATATATATATATAGAGAGAGAGAGAGAGAGAGGCCTCTGGGCTATTTTCCTAAGCCATCTATACCTCCACTCTCCCCGGTGGTCAAGGGTAGCCACGGTATCGAGGACTTAAACCGTAAACCCCAGACCCTAAACAACCCTAAACCCTAAACCCCAAACCCTAAACCCTTAACCCTAAACCCCAAACCCTAGACCCTAAACCCTAAACCCCAAACCCTAAACCCTAAACCCTAAACCCTAAGAGGACTTCGGGCTTCTGGCTGAAGGTTGGGGTGTGAGGAGTCCCTACCCATAGGCCCCATCGTAGTTCCTTTTGGGGGGTCATATTTAGAGTCCTCTAAGGTAATCCCAAACAGGAAGTGCTATGCGGCCTAAAGGTAAACCCTTAAGCCCTAAATCCGTAAACCGTAAAGATTGAGGGTTAGTTTCCTGAGTTCAGCGTAGCACCGTCATATGGACAGTGTTACTTGTGAGGTCCCCACATCTTGTTTGTACAGCCCCAGCTGCTCCAAGCCGTAAGCCCCAAAAACCCGGAGCCGTTTTGGTTCAAGACCCGCTGCTAGAAACAAGCCAAGCATTCACAAAGATGGTCTCCAGCGAGGCACCACGGGGGGCAGAAACCCAATGCTTTGCAGTTTAGACTCTGATACTTGGAGGATCTTGGGACTTAGTAAGTAAGGTTATAAGTCCCTTAGTTGGTTATAAGTAAACATAAGTACAGTTACCTTAATTATTTAACCCTACTTACTAAGTCCCATGATCCTCCAAGTAGTGCAGAGCCGTACACCCAAAAATCCCGAAGGCTACACCGTGACACCCCTAAACTTTTGACCATACTTAAAGGATCATGGGACTTAGTAAGTAGGGTTATAATTAGGGTAACTATACTTATAACCCCAATTAAGGGACTTATAACCTTACTTACTAAGTCCCATGCTCCTCCAAGTAAGCCCTAAACCCTGAACGCCCCGTGTCTTTCTTCAGGTTGCAGGGTCTTCTCGGGGTCTTAACCCTACTACGATCCTAAATCCTAAGCCCCAACCCCTGCTGTGTGGGGCCCACGTTGCAGTTCCCTTTCAGAGACCGTACTCTCTGACTGCCATGTTCTTTTTGTGTAGGGTTTCGGTTTGAGGGGCCCCCCCACAACATCATGATATCGAACAGGTGCTGCATGCGTACTGTAAGTATGATGTGACCTCAACCGCCCTCCAACGACCGCAGGCTATATAAAGTCGTCCCTGCATGCCTTGGTGCGTCGATGCATAGTCAACGACATGGTTCGCAGTCAGCCTGCGGCACCCTAACCCCCCAGGTACCTACTATATAGAGTACTACAGCCTCTAGGGCCCTATAAAGTAGGTACCTGCGGAGTTAGGGGCATGCAGGTTTTGAGGCTTGAGCCCGAACGTATCTACAAGGCGCCTGATTCGCAAGCAAGAATCTCCCGCATTCCTGATTAAGCTCATATTCTGGTATACCTTTCAAAGCCCTGCTGAAAAACACACACTAGCCTTGCTTTAATTTTCAATGCCCCTACATTGAACCCGATTATCATCGGGTTTTTAGTGCAGGCCTTCCCTAAGACTCCGATGAAACAACTTTTTTGGGGGGGTTCTAAAGTCTATATATAGTACCTATTTAAGGCAATTTGGGGTCTTGGGGCATCCTAAACCCTAAACTTAATCCTTAAACCCTCAACTCAAAACCCTAAACCATGCGAAACCATACTAAACCATACTAAACCATAAACTTAAGCCCTAAACCCTAAGCCCTAAACCCTAAACCATCATAAGCCCTAAACTTAAATCCAAATCCCCAAGTCCTAGGCTAGGGCGATTTAAGATTTATGACTTAATGGGTTCAGGGTAACTTACGATTTAGGGTTTATAGGGCCAGAATTGGTTAAGTGAAATTTAATTCATGTAAGGTTTACTGGCTTGGGGTTCGTAATGGGTTTAGGGGAATTTAAGATTTAGGGCTTGGGGCTCGTAATGCGTTTAGGGTATTACATGTAAGGTTTAGGGCTTAGGGTTAATGCAGCATTTAGAACTATTTAAGGTTTAGGGCTTGGGGTTTACATAGAGTTTAGTTGGTTTAAAGCTCAGGGCTTAGATGGCCTGTGTTTTTGTTACACTGTTTTTGGGGCGTAGGGCTTCTATAGGACTTTTGTTTTTCAGGGATTAGAATTTATCTAATATAGGGTTTAGGGTTTATAGACTTTGGGTTTCATGACTTAGGGCTTAGTATTACAGTTTAGGGGCTAAGGGGCCCCTTATTCAGAATCCCTGTTGAGATGGAAAAAACCCTAAACCCTAAACCATGCCTTACTTACTTACCGACGGTTTGGATTATTGAGTTTAGGCTCTTGACGCTGTCGTCCCCTGTTTAGGGTTGAGGGTTTAGGGTTTTGGTGTTGAAGGTATTGAAGCAACGGCTACTTAGGCTATATCAGGCTCTATGGGTAGTTCCCCCTAAACCCTAAAACCCTGAACCCTATTTAGGGTCCATTTTTTAATTTAGAGAACTACCCTTATGGTTGGTGCAAGGGCTTAGAGTTAAGGATTTAAAAATAACCCATCAGCCAGTATGTTGAGGATCAGGGGTCCTAGTAGGGTAACATTAAGGTTTAGGGTTTAGGGTTTATGGGTTTCAATAGGCAGCCACACTTGCGGCTACTTATGACGCGATTGAAAAATACCCATGACCCCTGAAGCATTGATGATTCCGAATCCTTGTACGGTCTTGTCTCGGTGCTGGGAGGCATGGCGATGGCAGAAGCACATTCTGATGGCCACCATGTTTGCTTTCGTGATACTTAGTCGCGGAGTAGCAAATTTTGCCCGTTCGGGGTTCTGTGAGCCAGTTGAGAATCGGACTGCTAACATCCATCACGGGAGATCAAGGACAGGCTATGCCGACGTCATCAGCATGCTGCGGTACAAATGCTTTTCCAGCATGATGACGGGGAATGCCATCATGTTCGGGCGGGCCATTGCGAATCCGGGATCAGCTTTCGATGAAGGCCCACAACATGTGATAGACTCAAAGTCGGTGTTTCTGGTGTAGGCTTGGGGGTGTAGGATGTGGGCTTTCTGCAGAGGCCCATTCTACTACATCGTCATCATATTCGCCTTTGCTTCCGGCGCCGTCCTGCAGCGCGTTAGCGAGCACTTCTTCCCAAACAGAGGAGGTAGCATTGTTGCACTTCCCTTGGCGATATTGTTGGTTATTGCCGAAGTTCTTGAACTTCACATGCCCTCCGAGCCAGATTGGACAGTGGCCGGCGTCGCACACTTGTTCGGCGTTGTGGCTTCTGCCTGCAGCACGGGACGCATGGGAACCCATACAACTATGGTTACAGGTCATATCCTGAGTTTGGCAAACCACCTCTCCAACCTCATGCTCACTGGCAGTCTGACGGCGCAGGACACATGGCAACTGGGCTCTGAGTTCTGTAACTGGATCGTTTTTCGTTTAAGTCAGCACCGAATCGTATTTGTATAGCTGAGGTTTTGTAAACATTACATATGTTGTATCGAAGTTTAAAAACCCAACGAACCCTAAACCCTATCCCCTAAACCCTAAACCCCTAGACNNNCTTAACCCCTAAACCCCCAAACCCCCAAACCCCTAAACCCCTAAACCTCTGGACCAAGCCTGTTGTATTCAAGAAGCCCAGGAAAGCAATCATGGCGGTGATGATCCTTGAGCCTCGACCTGGTTTGGTAGACACAGTCCCTTCTGTTTGGTAGGGGCCAAACCTTATAAGTTTAGGGTTCAGGGTTTAGGGTTTAGGGTTTAGGGTATTCTTGTCGATTATACATATATATATATATATATGTACATATATATGTGTGTCTGTATATGTGGTCTATCTTAGAAAGTTCGGTCTTGTGTGAGCCCGGCTATCGAACAAGAGAAATACCGTCAACAACAAATGCCGTAATCCAAAACCGTCGAGTTCAGGCCTGAGCGTATAGGGATTGGGGTGACAGGGGTTTGGGGCTTAGGGTTTAGGGCTTTGGGTTTAGGGCTTAGAGCTTCGGGTTTAGAGCTTGGGGTTTCGGGTTTAGGGCTTAGGGTTTAGGGTTTAGGGTTTAGGGCTGAGGGTTTAGGGCTTTTGGGCTTGGGGTTTTAGGGTTTAGTAGGCAGAAGCAATACCCTCGGAGCAACGCGCCGGAACCGTGCGCAGCGCACCCCCCTGCCCCCCCACCGCCGAGGTCGGCACACTTGCAGGCACCATTCTTGGTGCCTTCATGGTGCCTTGCCTTCATATCCGGTTTAGGGTTTAGGATTTAGGGTTATAGGGTTTAGGATTTAGGGTTTAGGGTTTCCTTCACCTCCAGCTCACAGGTTGTAGGGTTCTAGGGTTTAGGGTTTAGGGTAGCTTTCAACCTAGAGTAAGCGTATCGCGACACCCGGAGCTTGGGGTTGGGATTCTCGACAGCCGAAGCACCCTAATCCCATGGCTGACCTAGGCTAGAAGCTCGCACTGGAAGAGAACAGAAAAGCTGTCTAGCACATGCACACTCACATGCAGAGTCATAGACACATGTGTACACACACATGTTCATACGTGCTGAGTTTTGTGCTGCACTTACTTGCTGTTTGGTCACCAGTGTAACAGTGTGTTCGTTTGTGTGCATGTGTGTGTGCACGTCACGTGTGTATGTGCATGTTCATGTGTGTGTGTGTGTCTGTGTGTCTGTGTGTCTGTGTGTCTGTGTGTCTGTCACGACTACTTAAAGGATCATGGGACTTAGTAAGTAGGGTTATAATTATTAGGTAACTGTAGTTATATGTACTTATAGCCCCAGTTAAGGGACGTATAACCTTACTTCCTAAGTCCCACGACCCTCCAAGTAAGCCCTAAACCGAGTTCACGGTGGACGGTTCGGGGCCTAAGGGTTTCGGGCTCGGCTTGAGCCTCAGAGGTCGTCTTAGACTTCTCTGTACATGAACACGGCGTCCCCACAGATCCGGGTTTAGGGTTTAGGGTTTAGGGCTTAGGGCCCTAAACCCTAAACCCTAAACCTGCTTTTTGACTGACAGGCCGCTTTTTATCCACCACATACATATCTCCATCATTCCTTGCTGGTTTCACAGGTCCTCCTCCATAAACCACAACCCCCAGCTAGCTTGGCTGCAGGTGCGAAGTATCCTGTCACGAAGACCTGCAACCTTGTCCCAAGTTCCAAACCCTAAAGCTAGGACATCTTCAGGTGGGTAGTTACCGTTATAGGAGCCTTATAGAAGGTCTATATACCTTATGGAAGCCTTCTAGGCTCCCTATATACCCTAAACTCCCCAGCTGCAGTTTCCTTTAACTAAAAGCTCGACAGGGACACTCCGGGCAGCTCAGGTGGCCATGGTCAACCTAAAGGTCCTTCTCATGCCAGTCTGGGGCCCAGCGAACCGAGGAGTGAGACGAGCGGTAAGGCAAAAGAACGGAATATAGGGGTCTAAATAACTGCCCATATTATTTTGGGGGTTCCTTCTCATAATTATAGTATTATGGGCCCTAAAACCCTAGTCTAATTNNATTATTAAGGCCCCTACATTACAGATAGGCTATCGAAACTTCCACCAGCCGTATGAATCATTTGCCCAGCCAGCCAGTTCGTGTACACCTATCCTGAGGACTGCTTGCCGGATCGTGGGACTTAGTAAGTAAGG